TTGGAGCAGATCGGACGGTCCAAGTCCTGTTCACCTGTGGAATTTATCGCCTGGAGGAACTCCATTACAATTCTGATGGGTTCAACAGAGACCGAATACGTGATAGTCATTTCGATTCAAAAAATAAATAAAAAAATTGTTTAATACTAAAACTGGCACTTTTAAACTCACTCTCAAACTTCTTCTCAAAATGGATATAAACCGAACCTGATTTTCATGACCTTTTCGGAGCTTTGAAAACTATCGAATCATGAATTAATTCGTTTCGACTTTTTATATGCGTGGGAGGGGAAGGGAAAAAAGATATTTCTTCAAGGCCGAATTCATCACTCACGAAACTGTAACAAAATCCAACTATGCCGAAAAAAAATTAGAAGGAATCGAAATCAATAAGCAAATAACGAATATCCAATGGCCCTAGATGTCAAGTTTCCTCGAAAATTTTCCATCTGGATCCGGGGAGATGTAAGAACGTGCATTAATTTTTTATTATTTCCTTCAGATATGTTTTCACAGTATGACAGGTAGATTTGTGCAGCACCTGATATATGATGTGATTTTGGCAAAATCGGCGTTGTCTCTGAATGATGGTTCTCTTGTCGCATTCCAGAATTGGTGGATGCCATTTTTGCATCTAACCGTTTAGAGTGAAATGAAATTTTCAGATACGTCACCAGATACTTCATCAGTTTCATGTTGAAACTGGTGACGTATTTGGTGACTGGGCCGATCCATACGATCGATGCTCCCGGGGCAACATCGATCCAAATTTCCATACTAGCGAGTTTATTTGCCTTTCGCAAAAACAAATTCGCTGGGAGCGAGCCGTCGTTAGCGAAAAAAATGCGTAATGCGCTTTAGGAAAAACTGGGAGAATCAGTTTTTCTGGTACGAAATTCTTGCATTAATTTATATTCTTTTCCATCAGTTATCCGGGGAGATGTAAAAATGTGCATTAATTTATTTTTATTTCCTTCAGATATGTTTTAACAGCATGACAGGTAGATTTGGGCAGCAATTAATACATGATGTGATTTTGGCTGAAATGCAACAAAAAATCGGCGTCGTCTCTGAATGATGGTTCTCTTCAATCTCGAATTCCCGAATGGGTGGATCCCATTTTTTGTTCCTATCGGTTAAGAGTGATCAGGTTGAAACTGGTGAGGTTGGCGTTAGGTCGGGGGGCATCGTTCTCTTCGCCTTTGTATGTGTATATGTGAGTCTAACCTATAAGTATACAGGGTGGCCCAAAAGTAGGTATACAGTTGTTTAGTTTTTTTATATTTATTTTCTTTTTCTTTACAGATATTGTGAATGATGGCAGCGAACTTTAGTCAAGAACAAAGAAAGTGGATTCTAAAGCAGTACTGGAAGACTGAAAATGTTAAATGTAAATGTAATAAACAATGTAATAAAATGCAAATAAACTATACTGTATACCTACTTTTGGGCCACCCTGTATGTAACCTGCATATGTGAGTCCAAGACGCGATCCGAGTGGGCGTTCTCTTGTGTCCACACGGGAACCGATACTGCTGGATCAACATCGATCCGAATTTCTGATGCAAGTGATTTTATTTGCTATTCACCCAAACGAACTCGCTGTGAGCGAGCCTACGGCGCTCTGCGTTAAAAAGAAATACATGATGCGTTTTGGGCAAAATTGTAATAATTTTCCTCGTACGAAATTCTGCAAGGTTGCCCGTTCCTTAACCAAAAAAATTAAGAAAGGGACTTTCAGGATGATCGGATCTCAAGTTTCAGCTTTCAATGTTCCTCGATTTCTTTAATGGAAATTTAAGAAATTTTTCGACTCCTCAAAAGATACACCCTGAGGGCGTGTATCTCAAAATTAAGAATAAATTCCTTTCAGTTCATTTCTCACAGCAAAAACGCATACCACATGAGGAGACGGGAAGTACCTGAATAGTAACATGATAAAAATCACCAACTCAGCAGTCACGTTCATCCGGGGTTTTAGCTGATCCCATCATTTGCTCCATGTGCTGCAGATCCACCGGAATTCAAACTGAGCCGCAAGGGAGGCGAATACGTGGGGAAACGGAGCAAGTCGATTTCCGGATTTCCATGTGCGACTTGGCTCAGCCACAACGAGAGCAGCGAAATCCTCCTGCCAGGATTTTCGGACGAAGTGGACGCGAGCCACAGATTCTGCCGCAACCCGAATGGCCAACCCCACGGTCCTTGGTGCTACGTCGACGCAGACGCCGGACCCGAATGGGAATATTGCGACGTTCCTTTCTTCTCCGACGTCCATGGGGAACGGTGTGACGTTCGAATTGAAGGCCATTGCGTTCGTGAGCATCACTCTCATTTTTTCCTTTGGGTTTTAGTGGAAATTTTTCCTTTCATTTTAATCCTTAAAATCCACGTATTTTTCGACTTGCTGAAAATATAATTCTAAGTAATGTCATGGTTTCCAGACCCACGAGAATGCAAGATGGACGTAACAGGCCTGTCATACACCGGAAGAAAGAACGTGACCATAAAGGGGCACCAATGCCAGCGATGGATGAGCAATTTCCCAAACGATCAACTTCTTTTCGGCACCGAAAATCAAACTTTTCCCGACGACTTGCACCTACAACACAACTTCTGCCGGAATCCGACCGGCGACGAGGGAGGTCCTTGGTGTTACAAAAGCAATGGAATCGGGCTGGATTACTGCGACATCCCGATCTGCTATTGAATTGTTGAAAACCACCAGAGAACTCGGGAGAAGAATTAATTTGCCTTCCTCGTTTTTACCCTGATCGCCCTGTCACAAACGAAATCTGGAATTTTGCGAAACGGAGATGCTTTTTGTTCCTTTCCTGCTATGAATTCTCCTTTTCGAGTTGAAAACGTTCCAGCAGATATATGTAAGCCTCTTTTACGACTGCTGAGAAGACGTATCCCTTTTCCATTTACATCAACTTCAATCCATTCCCTGCAAATCACTTTCCCATTCTCATTCATCAGAATGGATTCGTGAGAACATGCGAGTGTGCAGAATCCGAGATGCAAATAACCCAAGGAAGGAAAGAGTGCGATTTCGAAAGATTGCAATTCGGAAATGGAAAGGCCGCTAGAAACCATTTCCAACACCCGTGCCATGTTCAACGAGGCCGCCCCCAGAATTTCCAGATTTACCTTAATCATCGTGAAATTTCACCTTTCCTATTATTGGTTGGATTTACTTCGACATTAACAGGCTTTTTTATTTCCATTATCGTGTTGATCCGTCTTGTGGTTCGTGTTGGTGATCGAGTTGGGGATCGTGTTGGGAATAATTTTGGGTTTTTCAATATAATCCCTGGAAATGGGGCAATCGTCTTGCATGTATCACACTAATTGTTTGTTGGCCTTCACAATAAATTGTATTTCTTTCCTAGCCACTATTGGTGGCTCTCCATAGAATTCCATTGTGCGAGTATAGCAGTTATTACAATGATGACAGGGTTTCTTGCTCGAGCTGCACATCAATCTTTGTTATCAGTGACAAAAAACAATTACCCTTGTAAACTCTCTCCACAACAATGGAAATAAAAAGTTTGGGGATCCGACTAGCATTGTTGCTTTGTCCGACTGTCGCATAGACAGTTAAAAGACGATTTAAAGGTATCATTTCCCCTCCTAGCTCGCAATATCGAGGCGGTCTGGAAAGCACTTTGACCAACGGACGAGATGGACCAGATCGTTAATATCGATCGATCGTTGATTTTTCCCCCTCCAATTCCTCCAGGAGTTGCGGTCTTTTGCAATTTACTTTGAAAAATAAAGCATAAAATAATCTGAGTTCATGGTGGGAACGAAACTAAAAAAAAGAAATCGATTGTCTTCGTTCGGTACCCGTTTACATGGAGACGGTGGGAGAGATCCGTTCTGAATCGGATCGTGGCTTTTCCTCTGGCGTCCTTCGACCATTGAACCTGTACGTATTTCACCGTGTTTCGAAGGTCGTGGTCGCGCTTGATGCTGGTGCGGTCACCCGTGGTCACTCGTCGTCACTCGTGGTCACTCGGGTCTTTTTAGTCGGCGGGGGCTTCTGATCACGGAACGAGCTAGAGGTTCTCCAATAAATAAAATCTGCAATGAATAAAAGCATGCTATTCCTTGTCATTCCTGTCTTGATTCATGAACTTATTATGGTAATCGGAATGGAAAGTTTAGCGACGGATTTCCTTCAGCTTCATAACATTTCCTCAAGTCAATTATGAAAGGAGACTTATTGGACGTTTGGTACTACATATGAGACGAAGTGGAACTAGCCATGAGGGTTTTGGATGCCCCTGTATCATGCCCATGAGGCATGATACAGGGATGCTATAAGATCCTGTAAGAATCCTATAGGATCCTATGAGATCACTATATCATTCCTTTTAGAATGATACAAGATTTTGACCTTAAAAAAGTCTCATATGTTAATAGGAACTTTTCGTATGGGTACACAAGTACACCAGAAAAGTATGACGAATCATTAATCAAAAGTGTTTGAATTCTTAAAAACGGCATTCTCGACCTCGCGGAAAGCAATCAATGTTGCCTAGCCACCCAGGTCGACCACAACGTTAACGCAACCCAACGATCGACAGAGGAAACGGTCCGCCTCCCAACCGTGTCGTTTCGTGTTCTCGAGGGTGCGATCCCCATGGCGGTCCGGGCCGCAATGACGCTGCTCTTTCTCCTGCGACCCACCGGATCCGCCGATTTCGTCCATTATTATCAGGTGCAATCCGGGCAGAGATCGGGAAACGTGAAGGTGGAATACGCCGGAATAACGCTCGCAAACTGCACTCTCACCAGCGCGAATCAGAGTCCAGGTCCTAGCAACGACTTCAACTACCGGGAAAGCGACGGTCTCTGCCAACTGATTCTTCCGGGAAATGACGTCCTCGTGCCATCCGATGGATTCTTGTCTTTCGTCTTGAGTGAGTTAAAATATTCCCAATTTCGTATCGACGGTTGGAAATGAAAAGGAAATTAGAACAATTATGTACACATTTTTCGGCCAAATGAACATTCTCATGGTCTCGAGATGAACGTGACACCCTTTACATCGAAAAATGTAAATGACATCTTGCAGTCACATGATTTTTTTCCCCTATAGGAAATGGAATTGATGCCACGCAAGTGACACGTCCCCTCTCTCCATCAGACACCGTTACGCAATCCGCAGACGGGGAACAGCACGCGTATCCAGAATGTCTGCTGACGCAGAAGGGCAAGGAATACATCGGAACAACGAACGTGACAGCATCGGGAAGGGAATGCCTGACATGGGCCGACATGCCCTATGGACTCTCCGACGATTCCCCTTCCATCGAGCACTGGGAGAACTTCCTCGACCTCAACGATTCGTCCCAACACAATCACTGCCGGAACCCGAACTGGAGGGAGAGACCCTGGTGCTTCGTCCCCGACGCTGACATCCTATGGGAATACTGCGACATCCCGACGTGCACTGACTTGGGTAAGGCATTTTCCCAGAGGACCGCGAAAGGCAGAACAAGTTATCACGGCAAGGACCGTGATGATATGCCTTGGAGCAGATCGGACGGTCCAAGTCCTGTTCACCTGTGGAATTTATCGCCTGGAGGAACTCCATTACAATTCTGATGGGTTCAACAGAGACCGAATACGTGATAGTCATTTCGATTCAAAAAATAATAATAAAAAATTGTTTAATAGAGGTTCTCCAATAAATAAAATCTCCAATGAATAAAAGCATGCTATTCCTTGTCATTCCTGTCATGATTCATGAACTTATTATGGAAAGTTTAGGGACGGATTTCTTTTAGCTTCATAACATTTCCTCAAGTCAGTTATGAAAGGAGACTTATTGGACATTTGGTACTACATATGAGACGAAGTGGAACTAGCCATAAATTTTTTGGATGACCCTGTATCATGACAATGAATCATGATACAGGGATGCTATGAGATCCTGTAAGAATCCTATAGGATCCTATGAGATCTCAATATCATTCCTTTTAGAATGATACAAGATTTTTGTAATGAATGAATGTAATGTCGCCGAATGGGCCTTCTGGGAATTATGAAACCGCGTCGATGTGAGTCAGCAGGAATTCCCTGGGAATAAATGGGTCAAGAATGGAACCCTGCTGGTTATAAATGCTTTTGTTGATTTTTTTTTACTAATTAATTATATATTGGTGGAACTAGTAGTAAACACGTGATCTAAGCGTGGAATCCCTCACGTGAGAGATGCAAGAGCAGGGTAAAAATATTTCCGTCTTCAAAATCCAATCCTGTGTACCAATTTTCAGATTTCTAATTTCTCTAGAACATGGTTAGAATTAGCGTCAGTCAGTCACGATCGTCTATATATATATAAGAGGGAATAAATATGCATGATCCATTACTATATTTGGATTCTTCGATATTTATGCAGTGAATTCGCCCATTTCCATGAAGGGATAAGCAGATCATCATGGTGGATAGGAAGGAGCGCAAGCGCACGATTCTATTTTTTTTCCGAAAGTGCGAAAGTGCTTCGACTAATTCGGGGTTCTTGAATTACCGTGTTTGCTTCAAGGAATGTAATGATTAAAAGTAATACATTTATTGATGTTTGAAGATTTGGGCTTCATTAGACTCCAGATAACATTGTTATCGTGCTTTGTGAACTATCAATACATGGGCTTCGCGTTACTTGTGCATTAATATGATTTAAAGGGCCACAATAAAAGACTGCGGCCACGGAATCATTTCCTATAAAAAAAATATGACTAACCCAAGAAGACACGCTTCAAGTTCGGCACCGACCACCCGTCTTCTACCGTGGCTATTCCATTGTGCCTTATGGACAGCGTCTCGAGACTAGGACTGAGGATGGACGGCAAGTCGGTGAGTGCATTCCCCCCCAATTCGACCTTCCTGAGGTGGGCGAGGCGCGGGAGGGCCTCCCAGGGGAAGTCCCGCAGGGCGCTGCCAGCGATTGCAAGGCGATCGAGGCGGCGTCTCGAGGGGAGGAGGGCGGAGGCGTCCACCGTGGTCGCGGCGGTGTTGGAGACGATGATCCTCGGGAAGGTGATGGAGCCGGACGGGCCTTCTGGGAGCTCTGAAACCGCGTCGTTGTGGGTCAGCCGGATTTCCCTGGGAATAAATGGGCGAAGAATAGAACCCTGTCGGTATTAAATTCTTCAATTGGTATTTATTTTTATCAATGAATTAAATATCGGTGGGAAAAGTAGATACGTGATATCAGTATCGAATCCCTCATGTCAGTTTCTTTAATGGCCAATGTGGGCCATTGAACGCCTCAAAAATCTCGTCGCTCGAGGTCGCTTGGGAAGGGATCGGGACACGGAAATTCCACAAGTGTCGCCGGAATCGAAGCGATCCCAACGAAAATCACGAGGCATGCGTGGCCTCCGAGCATATTTAGGACCGATTTCGAAGGAATTTGAGGGGATTCGTGTGGAATAGGAGTAACGTGACTCTTTTTATACATTGTTTGTTCCTCCTCTCTCCCGGATGAGAAAAGTCGCAGGTGACGCCTACCGGATTCGATTAGTCACTTTCCTCGGAATCGTTTATCCTGAGACTACATACACATGCTATAGCTGGCCTTAACGAAGAGAACAAACACGCTCATAACGCGTGAGACGTCACCTCTGAGCGCGAATTGAAACGGTGTCACCTCTGAGCGCGAATTGAAACGGTGTCACCTCTGAGCGCGAATTGAAACGGTGTCACCTCTGAGCGCGAATTGAAACACGAATAACGCGAAAACAGACTTTGTGGACGGAACAGGATTCCGCACCATTCAAATTACTGCACTGAGCTGTTCTCCGGAGTGACATATTTCTCGCCAAGGCGTCCAGATGCACGCTCGAGCCATTCCGTGTGGGGATTTGAAAGGATTTTCCCCCGTTTAACACGACATTTCTTTTTGTCACCGTCGTAGAGTCGTGTCTCCCTCTGTTTCTTTCTCCGTTTTCATTGCATCTCAGCGATATCGAAGAAAAGAGTTTGCAAAAATTTTTTTTTTCGTCCACGATCCGCCAGGACATATTCGAAGATTAACCGTCGCAGGAAAAAAAAAGCATATTAAATGTAATGTCTCGGGTCTGTGTAAAAAGGCAACTCAAGAAATCTCATTGCTCTCTGAATCATTCACCAAAAATCCAGCCAATTCCCTCCTATCCATTTCCATCCCCATGCAACGAGCGAAAGAAAATCCTGCACACGTCCTACGGGAACCAAGGACATTAAATGTCCCAGGCGAATTGTCCCAGGCGAATTGTCCCAGGCGAATTGTCCCAGGCGAATTGTCCCAGGCGTATTGTCCCAGGCGAAATGTCCCAGGCGAAATGTCGCGGAAAATTTTTTTTTGGACAAATGGAAAGGAGACATTATCGCTTGACAAAAAATGTTCGGCTTGCGTATTTAAATATGCGTGATAGAACAGACGATCATATTTGAATCATGCGTAGAAGTCAAGAAATGCACCCGAAAGTGACCCACTAGCATTTGAAAAGAACCTTGTCAACGGAGATACAGCTAACGTAATGGCCTTCTGTAGCCAATGGGCCATTGAAACCATTTCAGGAAGCCATTACGCTCCAGTGCAAGTTACTTGGAACCGGGATTTTAATGGGTTTTTTTTTTTAAGTGTTGACATCCATCTTGACATTTCTTGGTGAGGGAAAAATATTAATTTCCCTCAAATCCTCGCAAGTAATCCTCACCCCTAATCCAACTGTTTTTTAAATTTTTAAATGAGACTCCTACTCCCCCGCTGAGACGCCCCCAAGCTAAAAAGGTCATTTGTTCCACCTGACCAAGTAAATTACGAAGAATTTTCGGGCGGCGGTGATTTTCGCGATTCTGATCCTCCTTTGGATTATTTCAAAGAAAATTACATCGGAAGAGCTCGGAGAGGACGAAGAGCCGCTCCCCGATTTCCCCTTCCATTACGGAACCAAAGAAAAAAAAAATCGGCAGGGTGAGATGGGATTAGCCAATAGGATTACGAGTAAATGAGGCTCTCAGCAGAACGGCAGAACGGCAGAATGGCAGCTGACTTTTGCAAATCGGGATGTTGCACGATTTTCGTTTGGCGTTGGACGCGTCGTAAAAAATTCGTGTCCCGGGATTCAACTTCATCTGCCGTGTGATTTCCCCTTTTTGGACTTATTTGTTAATATCTACACGCGATCTCTCAATTCGAAAGAATGTTATTAGCGTGCACATGGTACTCAGCTTTTTCCTGAAGGAAACCTCCTCCCTATGCCTATCCTAGTTCAACATCCAGCCATATGGGTATAAAACACCAGAACCACCGTTTTCTCATCGGCGACATTTTTTCTTGACGACATTTTGTCCGGGCGACATTTTGTCCGGGCGACATTTTGTCCGAGCGACATTTTGTCCGAGCGACATTTTGTCCGGGCGACATTTTGTCCGAGCGACATTTTGTCCGAGCGACATTTTGTCCGGGCGACATTTTGTCTGGGCGACATTTTGTCCGGGCGACATTTTGTCTGGGCGACATTTTGTCTGGGCGACATTTTGTCCGGGCGACATTTTGTCTGGGCGACATTTTGTCCGGCGACATTTTGTTTGTGCACGATTTAAAACAGGCGAAATGTTCTTCTCGTGGGTTTCGTATTGGGTCGGTCGTCAACCTGGATAATCAGTAGACCGCATTCCAGCTCGATTAAGCGAACTGAAGTGAAAAAAAAAATTAATTCGGTAATTAATTACTGGTAATTAGCGGGATACCTCCAGAAGCGGAATTGCATTAGGGGCGAGACTCGAGAGAAAGCAAAAATTTTGCACCGAGATAGAGCAAAAATTTTTCACGGAGATAAACGCTTATCTCCCGCTGCTTTTCCGCGAGGAAGGACCCGGAAAAACGGCGCATTGCATATCTCTGAAAAAAAACGAAAGCGAAGCCAAGTTTTTGCGACCTGTTTTCGCTGAGGTCGCACCGTCTCTCTTCACCATATGGGTAAGCATAATTTTATTTATCGTAATTGATCATAAACATATCAAGGGTCTAGCCAGGGCATTCCCGACTTTTCCTTCCATCGTGAATTTCATGAATCGATCTAGCAAACGCAATATGCTTCATTTCATATGAAGTTGGAAGGTGTGATTTTTGAAAAACAATGTTTTTCTATTTTCAACACAAGTGTGTACACCTTGCCCTTTTTTTTTTTGTTCCAGTCAACATGCAGTCATTCCGTAAGTCCAGGTCTCCAGTGTTTTTTTTTTTTTTTGCGACCGTTTTGTTCGAAAGACGCAAATTTAATGCGGGGACGACGCAGGAGGTGTGTTGACGATGCTGGCTCTTGGAGCCGCCTGCGCCGCCTTCGACCTGAAGCTGGCCACCTTCAACATCAAGCAGCTCGGGGATGCGAAGTTGGACAAGCCTGACGTCGTGGAAATCCTTCTACAGGTCGGCTGCTTGGTTCTCGGTCCAAACATTTATTTATTGCTATTTTCCATGCGATCATTGATATTTTCATTATAATCTTACCATATTGATATAATTATTGCTATTTCCAACATTATCACAACAATGAGGAACTTCTCCGTTCGATATTATTTGGAGGAGTCACGTGTTTGACTTAACATGCATCATACAACAATGAACGGAGTCATTGGCATTTCCGCAAAAACGGTGCGATACTTTCCAGCGTAACTTTCCAAAAGCTCTTCACGAGCGGAAAACGTAGCGCAAAAACGAAACGAAACTTGGAGGTTGAGGTGGTGGCAAAGTCGCGTTCTAAGAAGAATTCGGGGGTAAATGACTCACATTCTCCCGATGTTCCCCTCACCGAGCGAGACGGCAATTTCAACGCAAGTCTGGCTTCCGCAGATCCTGGACGACTACGACCTGGTGTCCATCCAGGAGCTGACGGACGCGGATGGCAGCTGCGTCCCGCGCCTGCTCGACCTCCTCAACGAGGCGTCGGGGAAGGATTACACGAACCTCACGTCGCCGAGGCTCGGCAGCTCGGACACCAAGGAGCAGTACCTCATCCTGTACCGACCTTCCGTCGTCCAAGTGAAGAACAGCCTCCTCTACGACGACGTCGGCGACGACTTCGAACGGGAACCGTACTATGTCACTTTTGAAGCCGGTATGCACAGGATTTGATCCGGGACTGCCGGGTGAACGATCTGAAATGGAGGTTGTCTCAGATTCCCAGACAAAAATGTTGGGAATGGTACTAATTTACTACTGCATGAACCTGATGTTTCCCATTTAATTAATAAGAAATATCCATTCATAGAATTTATTTGGATTTCATAACGGCGTGAGTTTCGATTAAAAGCTTAACAGGCACAACAAATCCCATGACAATCGAAGCGTAAATTGTAAAGTCGTATATTGTCTTTCAGAAAGAAATTAATTTCGCACTTGGTCTTCCTCTAATGCCATGGTCTTGAAGGGAATCTTGGATGACTCCATCTGTCCTCCCATTGCCTCCATCTATCCCCGCATTGCCTCCATCTGTCCTCGCATTGCCTCCATCTATCCCCGCATTGCCTCCATCTGTCCTCGCATTGCCTCCATCTATCCCCGCATTGCCTCCATCTGTCCTCGCTTTGCCTCCATCTATCCTCGCATTGTCTCTCATCACAATGTCGATCGCGTCGCATCATGTTGCAGGAGGCTACGTGTTCACTATCGGGTCCATCCACACGAGGCCCACCGCAGCGGTCCCGGAGTTGGACCATTTCGCACTCGCCACGGACTGGGTGACGGACACCTCCGGCGTACAGGTAGGACCGGACCAAAAAAAAAAGGACCGGACCAGACGGCGAAGACAGGTCGGCCTGTGTCGAACTTTCGGGCCCTTAGTGGGCCATTAGCCCTTGTGGGCCCTTAGTGGGCCATTAGCCCTTGCGGGCACCATCCACACTTTAACATGGACTTTATGCTTCGCCGGTGATGTTACTCGTTAAATGTAGACAGATCGATTTATACCACAGAATGTTACTCTGCTCCATTCTTTTTTAAAAATTAGTACTAAATATATGGGAGAGTACTAAAATTAGTATTAAATATATTAACTTCGGAGAAAAGGTAGGGTTCACAATTCGAGATGCTTTAAAATATCCAACGTGTTGAAGCTTCAATACTAAAAGAAAAAAAAAATATATATATATATATAATGGCATTTGAAACCTATTTTATTGCGCTGAATCCGCGTTGCATTCGGTCTCAGGAGTTCATTCTGCTGGGCGATTTCAATGCGGACTGCGATTACGTGAAGGAAAGCGATTGGCCCAACATCAGCCTCTGGACCCGACAAGAGTTCGAGTGGCTCGTGGACCACGACGAGGACACCACCGCCAATGGCAACACCTTCTGCGCCTACGATAGGTGAAATTCGTTTTTTTTTTTTTTTTTTTTTTTTTAT